ACAGGGGAGCTCACAGGGCTGCTGTTGAGGTGCCTTGTCATGAGGTATAATTGAATAATTAAATATTTTTAAATCAATACAAGCTAATTTAAGGAGACACAGGCTTTGGAAGGGCCTGGATGTTTTGTAGAACCCAATATTGATTATGAAGTCTCAGGCTTGTAGCATTTTGGCAACTAGTTTGAGACTGGGCTTCACCATTTTACACAAAGGAACAACAGCCTAAAAAGTGTTCACAGAGGCCTCTCTCATTTCTTTAACTACTGCACTTTGTCACTGTTTAAAGAAACCCTGTGGCACTATCTGAAATTTGGAGAGGATCCTGTTCAGTACTCCCGGTGCAAGAGCGAGCAGGACATGAAGAAGACTGTAGTATGTAACAAATGTTAAGCATTAAGGTCACTAGGCCATGGACTGGGGCTTTTGAAAAGCCGCGTTTCCAACCAGTAGATCAATACACCAGACCAAGGTATTAGGCAACGAGTCTAATCTTGAGTACCTGTATGTGCAAATTGGTGTTATTTTGTCTTGGTATCTTGGAGAGGTACTGTCTTTGCAAGGCAGAATGGTTCAAACCATCTCTCCTGTTAGCTATAATGGCAGCCCGTGGGATGCCCTTCCACTTCGTGTGTGTCTGATGTGGTGGCTGAGGGCGTGGACGTGCATTTCAATGGGAGAACTCTGCTTCTGCACTAAGGGAGTTATTAGTAAGGGACAGGCTCAAGATCCCACTGCGGGATCCCTGTTGGATTTCAGGGAGAACATTAACCTGAGTGGGAGCAAAACTCATAGTCATTTTACCAAGGTCAGAAAATGACCTAATAAAATAGAAAGGCAATAAAGAAAAAGAAGAGAATTTATATTACTGGGTCAATGTATGTCTTCCAACCACATTACCCAGAGAAAGATGCCTTGTTTCTTGCAGGTTTGTGATTAAATGAATTACCTTTGGCTAGATCCTGTTGGATAAGGGAGAGCAATAGGTGGCCAAGCGCTTTGCTTATGGAGAAATGTGTATGAGAGGATTCGGTCACGGGCCATCACTGAGCCTAGTTGGCATGGCTTGAACCAGGCTTGACACGTCACTCATAGCTTCATGTGTGCATGGTCACCCATGCAGAAGGTGGCTCCCTGGTGCAGCTGACATCTGAGACACTGTGTGGGTTTGTGAAGAGAAACAGACTTTCCTCCAAGGCAGGTTGGGCAGATGTGATCAGTCAGAGGGGAGATGATGCTGCAGCTACAAGACTATGAGCATTGGCCCCAGGGAAGCTGTAGTCAAGCTTTATGTTTTCAAGCAAGGACATACTAAGTACATTGAAACTCTGTGATGAGGGATAGGCTGACAGATTACAGTCTGTGAAACCCATGCACCTTTTCTGGGATCTTGAGAAATAGGAAAGTGGGAAGAAAGGGCAGGTTCACACGGTGACGAGGCTGGATTTGGTCAGCGTGGAAGTCAGCAGGGAGCGTCCAGCTCGCACTTTGTATTTCTCCCTGAGCTGCCTGGACTTAGCAGAACGACATAATACAAGGCATCATGTCAAGGTTTTATCCTGCATGTATCCTGGCTTATTTGCAATTGTGAATAAAAAAATCCTGTGCGTGAGTGTGAACAGGCATACCCTTTGCCTGAGGATATATCTGTGCCTTCTAATCTCATGAAGAAGTTATATCTTTATCGGAAAACCTTATTCATTCGATGTAGCCAATATGAATAACATGAACAGGTCTCTTTCTTTTTCCTCTTGCCCCAGGAAGCACAATTGTCATGACAGCCGTATCAGAACACAGCATACATGGGTATGCTTTTTCTGGCTTTTAAACTAGAAAACTCAGAGCTCAGTCCCTGTACCAAACTAGGAAAGCTGTCAGTAGACTAAAGAGTAAGGCAAATTTATAAATTAATATGAATTCATATGTACAGAAAATATGAACAGAATATATTTGGAATTCCCATTCCATTAGAATACAAAGCTGTGTAAATAATCAAATCTTCAAAATAAGTAGCAAAACTTGTAGGAGTTTGAATACAGTTGGTTCTTTGCAGCTGACACTCAACACTAGCATTTCTTACTGATTTATAAAATTTGGAACTGTCATCTTTCATGGTTTTGTATAACTGCCAACATAGATTCTTCTGTCTTTGGAAGGTGGAAGGAGAGATACAGCGAGCTGCCCTTGTAGCTGGTTTTAGTCTTTGCTTGCACTCCTTCCCAGTGTCGGCCAGCAGCTAAGCTGGGTGCTTTGGGCGATAGGGTCAAGAAAAAGCAAGTCTGTATACAAATTCAGATACCTAGTTCCTACAGCTAATGAGAATTTTATCTATTAAAAATCGTGGTTTCAGGTGAAGCTGAGATGTTTTCCTGATAAGCTAAAGAAAACTAAAAAGAAAACCAGTGTTTCATAGAACCTTACAGAAGTTTTTTTAAACTTCATGAGCTTTACATTTTTCCTTTAGCCACCATCCCTTGTCTGTGATGTGGCTACAAGCAATCTTATTTGCGGTGGTGGCTGCATTGCTCTTCAGCTGAACAGAGGCAATTCACAGATCTCAACACATTCCCCAAAGAAGAGGCAGTTCAGGCTTTTAGTCCTAGCAGCTGTAAGGCAGACCTGGAGCCATGCTTTATTTCTGTCAATCACTGGTCAAAAGCCTAGTACAGACATATTCTGTGACTTATTTTTCATGAAGTTTTTGTTCAAATATAATTTGAGAATCCACTTACATAGCAACATCTTTGAATTTTGTCTCGGAACAGGTGTGAACTCTTTTCAAGTCTACATGGCCTACAAAGATCTCTACCAAATGTCCGACAGCCAGGTATTGCTCTGAATGCTTTTCGTTGCTGTCACCTGCTATGATCTCCCACCACCTAAGGAGCTGCTAAGGTTGAATTCCAGAGAATTGTTCCCACTGACCTAAGTGGCAATGGGAGAAAAGTACAGTGGGGGATTTCTTTTGAACATCTGCATGTGTTCCCTTCAAGTGTGTGACACTCACTTTCTGCAGAGATTTTCTGGTGTCTCCCAACATTGCAACCTCACAGCAACTGCTCAGGTTTTTGCCCTCACTTTATTTTGCTGTTACCTTTCAACAACTCCAGGTCAGAGAGGGAAGAAAAGATGAAGCACTTGAGGCAGTGGAAGTTTTGAGGTTTCAAGAGTTTCTCAGTTGCTGGAAACAGCTAAATGGAGTTGCTTTTCAGGGGAGGTGGCTTTTTCTCATTAGGGCTGAAGATAACAATGATCTTGTTTGTCCAGAGCTCATTACAGATTCTAAACTCTTCAGCTCTCCTATTCATAAGTATCAGGTCATTGAAAGTGGACAATGGCATCTGTTGGTAATAATAATGTTTGCTTATTCAGTTGAGAAAATGTTTTTCTCTTATTCCCAGAACTATAGCTCTTGGTCTCTTAAATAACTGTTGTTACACCTCCAGTACATATGATTTTAATTGGAATTTTAGACATAATAACATATAAATATTCTCTGAGAAGCAGATCATGTTAAATTCAACTCTCTGTTGGAATTGCCAAGGGAAATGAATAAAAATATTTAATGTGTGGCTAGAATAATGCCTCTTACTGTCTTCAAATGGGCATGTTGCAAGCTGTGTGTTATGACCCATTTGATGCTGAAGCGCCCTAGTGCAGAAGTGGACACCATGTCTTCAGTATTTGATCTGTGTTTGAAAACTGGGCTCCCATGTTTTACTGAAGTCTGATTTAAACAGGGAACATATTAGCTGAATACCTTTCGGAAAAGGATCTGAATTTTAGTGGATCCGTGCTCAGCAAATCTCAGTAAAAGCAACAGGATCAACTGTTTCCCTTCTGTGTGGATGGGTTTTGAATCTTAGAGAACTATTTTAATAAAGAATGCTCTAGAGAAAAATACTACAACTTCTAATTGTAGAATTAAATATGAAAGCTTGACACTATCTGGTCTAAGAAGATGGGGCAAAATGCCTGCACTTCAGAAAAGAGCTGTTGTAGCTGTACTAAAAGTATCTGAAGTCCATGGGAATAATTCCATTTTACATTGGCTAACATGACAGAGAAGAGACTGCTCCCTAAACTTAGAGCAACTTGGAAAGGCATGAAGAGGTATCTCTGTGGTGCAAGGGTCTGGGAGAGGCACTATGTCTGAGGGAGATGCAACACTACTCAGGGCTTTTGGCCCTGTCTTGGTGCAGAAGGGCAGAAGCTCATCCCGGGGCTGGCTGGGGTGTCACAGGGTGGGTAAGTCAACACCAAGCTGTGAAGCTCAGGCTCCGTGTAGAAAGCGTAGAGTGAAGAAGGGAGATAATTTGCTATTCACCTAGATAATTACCAGCAAAGAAGATGCAAAACTGAGGTAAACAGAGAGGTCTGGATGTTAAGTAATGTGTTTTCCTTATTTAGCAGTGTTTCCTTCTTTGTACCACCTGCAGCTTTATGAAGCCTTTACCTTCCTAAAAAGCCTTGGGGCTGTTATCCTGGTCCATGCTGAAAATGGAGACTTGATAGCTCAGGTGAGTGAACTCTCATTTTTTGCTTCACTTTGTAAGAAGAAGGACACAAGACAAGAGAAGTAAAATCCTCCAGTCAGACTATGAATAGGAAGAAAGAAACAAGCTGGCAAGTGCCTTTATTGAGCCTGATGTCCCCCACACCACTGGTATAAAGTCTGGGATGAGAGGATGGAGGCCCTTGTGCATGCTTTGGTGGGGCAGCAATCCAGACAGCTCCTTGCCTTGGCAGCAGAGGAGGAACGGATGAGGGGGGCAGAAGGAAGCAGGAAGATCTCTTCTGAATTTGGCAGAGACGAGTGAAGCAGAACAGCATTACCTTGCTAAGAGATTTTGGTGACAAAAAGCAGAGCTGGGAAGCTTTATGCTAATGTCTCTTGCTGCAGCTCTCATCGTAAGCAGTGAGAGTGAGTTTGCAGTGGGTGGTAAAGTTCCCAGACCTATTTTTTTTTGAGAATATTCTTGGAAATCTCTGAAGTTTGAGAATAAGAAACTTCTATGACCATCTAAATATTTCCAAAATGTATTTTAAACTGTAAGTCATGCTTTCTGAAGATGCCTCTCAGAACCAGGAAAATGGGCACAAATTCAGTCTGTTCCATGAAGATGTCTTGATCCTCAGTGCAGTCTCCACAGGTCAGGGCCCCCGTGTATGGACTGTCCTCACACTGGAGTGTGCTGTAGCTCTCACCTGTGCCGCAGCACGTCAGAAGAGGTATCCCAAGGACAGCAGTCGATGGTAAAACTCCTGCTGGTCTTTCAGAGGCCAAGATTCCCCTTAAAACAGAATGGGCAGGTTTGAGTGGGTGTTGTTATGACACCCTGCATCTGTGGCAGATTGATCTTTTAAGGCTGTTGCAGAGAATTCTCCCTCCTCTGATCCCTTGTACGTGCATAGAGCCCCTGTGGGTCCGTGAGACTACGAGTGAGCCGACCGATTTATCTGCTGAGCTCTTTATCTGCCGGCTTATCTGCTAAGGACCAGGCTGCAGAGCTGACAGGGAAATTACAATAACTAAAAACAAGTTGTCTTTGAGATCTGGGCTATGGAAGCCACCTTGTCTCATGGTTAAGGGACAACTTCAAATGAATGTTTGAGTGGTTGAGCAGTGCATAAGAGCTCTTGTCCACATGGGTTTATTTTGTTAGTTTCTCTCTGTGTCCTTTATTGCCCCCTTTGAGAGCCTTCTTTTCCTTTTCCCTTCAAGTTTGGCTGAATTACCCACTAGGCTCAAAAGTTACTAGTGAGCAGTCAACAGGCACACACAATGCAGTTGTGTCCTTCTGCCACCGAAGTCAGGTGAAAACCCTCATTTGGATTCAGGAGGGAACAAAAAAGCTGTTTTTCCATGAAGTTTAGCATGATTTAAAGCTAACAAAGTACATAATTTATAGTTTTAATACAACATAAAATATCCAGTAGAATGAAAATGAATAATAGGAAAAATAATAAGTCAATATTATTGTAGGACTGGCAAAATGAAACAAATCACATGGCACCCATGATGTTTTGATGTGTTCTCCATTAAAATCAAGGCACACTCGTAGAATTGCATTTCTGATAGAATTCTGTTTGAGTTACATTTTTCTTTGATCAGCTTTAGTATACAGCTGTCGACTATGGCCATACAGGACAGAGAAATTATTAGGAAAATGTGAATTATGTTACATGTATTTCGATGTATTCTGCACCATTGCCATGTGTCATAAAATCAGTCTTCCCTTATGATTTTATTTAGAAGGGTTATTTGGATAGTGAAAGGAAAGCTGCCTTCAAGGAGGTTTTTTTGGGCCTATCCTATGTGAAAATACAAATTTAATCTCTAACTTGTTAGCACTATCAAATCATCTTGCAGTGGGTAATTTTACCATATGATCTGATTTTACAACTTCTTAAAGATGCAAATCTATACTACTTTATGTAGCCATTCTTTGCCATCTTGCTTTTTTTTATATGGCTGTAGCTATTTTTTGTTGTATTTTAATTAGCTGAAGTCTTTAACTGGCACTGCTCAGAGCTGTTGCATTAATGATTTAAAACAGCTGATTTTAAGAATATCTGAGAAACATTATGATTTTCTAACCCAAATATTTTTAATTGCACAGTCAGATTAATACATTCCTACTAATGGCTCTTCAGCCTTGATTGATTGCAACGAAGGCAAAACTATGTGTGAACATACACTTGCTCAGGTTCTGCTGGAATATGTTGATAATGTGTCAGCTTTTCACCCTCGGGGACCTAGGATCAAATATTTATTAGATGACACAGTAAAGTGTGTTTGGTAACTTCATCCTGGTCTCTAGGGGACATTTGTCTGTATCACAGAGTCATTACATTTGTTGAACTCAGCTCATTAGAGACCTGTGGGCAAGGCAGGCCAGCGCTGGGGCTACATCAGCGCTTCTAGTCCCATGTCTGCTTTGTTGGCAGCCCTGGACCAACCTCAGACCAGAAGTGGTTGACCACCATTTCTTGCGAATGCCAATGCCACTGCTTGACCTTAAATGAAACAATAGGGTAAACTTTTTGTCTATTAAAATAAAAATAAAAATTCTCTCACTGCTGTGAAGATGGATCACACAGATTTTTGTCAGATTTTTTTTCTGGCAAATCCTCATTGGTGCTAAAACGGGCTTTTGGGTCTGGACAAAAAGCCCTCACAACTAGAGGGCACTGGTTTGCTTTCGTAAAAATGTAATTGTAGAGGTTCACTTTATAGGAAGAAATTGTTACAGAAAACTGGGTGCCAAAGGCAAACTATATTTGATTAAGAATTTACTTAAAAGTTGAAGAAGTTAACATTGCTTCATGAATTGCAGCCAAAGAGGAGCTTGTGCAAGTAAAGAAAGAATCGCAGGCTGGAAATACCCATAATATAACTTTTTATTACATCAATTGAAGCTTGTTCCCTGTCTTGGAGGGCAGAGGTTTCTGGAGGGCGGAGGAGATTTCTGATGGTGTCAGCCCAATGGCTCAAAGAACAAATATGCTCTATCGCACCGCGGGGACAAATCTGCCCTTGAAATCTGTGCCGGCTGTGCGGAGCAGACACTGAGGTGGGCTGGGACCAATTCAGAGCCAGTGTTTTCAGTCCTTCTCCCCAGGCAGCAGGCTTACACAGCTGCATTTACACAGACAAAAAGGGACAATTGGACAATATGGCTGTTAATGCATCAGAGGATGCCTGGTGCAAGGGTCTCATCCCAGAGCGGTTGTCAGCATTTATTTCTTACGTTGCAGGAACAAAAGCGTATCCTGGAGATGGGGATCACCGGACCTGAGGGACATGCTCTGAGCAGGCCTGAGGAGGTAAGAGACTTCACTCATTTTGTCATTTGTGGAAATATTTTGTTGAGCATGTGGTTTTGGAGCTTGGCTTCTGTATGTGCGGTTGATAGATGGGTGCATGGGAGAGGGTAACAGCCTGCTTCGCCCACAGCCTCTCAGTGTTATTCAAAGCCTTGAAAAGTCCAGGTCCCCTTCAGCTTACCTGTTTGCCTGAAACACCCTTTTGCTGCTGCAGCTGGTATGTTCCCTCAGTCCGAGGGTGAGCATGTCCTTGTACACTCCAGAGTCACAACTCTTGCTGCCCCAGGCACAGGCGAGCATGTGTTATTTTAAGTGTGACCCTTGCGACTTGATTTGTGATGACAAAAAAATGGGCTTATCAGGTTAAAAATTGTCACTGCAGCTTGTGGTTTAGGCTTTGGAGTCACTGCATTCTTTAAAATGCTTTGGCTGAAAACCCTCTGAGATGCATGTGTACATATATACTGTGCATATGCATATGCCCACGTTTAAATCTATGTTTATGCCGGCAGATCCATTTGTAGTAGAAATGCAGGCTGTAGAAATGCAAATATGTGAGGATGGAAAGATGCTGCGAGGCAGCTCATTTTATGCATCTTCCTTGTAATAAAAACCAGGCTATGGCACGGATCATCTGAGGCATCTGGAATGGCTTTCTTTAATGAGAAGGCAAAGGCAGAGATATATGGATGTCCTTTAATATACACAGTTCAGACCATTAATGGGATTATGGAGGGCAGTGCTGGGAAGTGACTGCTTTCCTTGAAGACTAAAGAGACAAGGTCCTGGGGATTTGAGGCTAAACTTCGAGAGATTGTTGCTGTCTGCAGATCTTTATATAACATCTCCCCAAGGCCAAGGGAATCAGCTTAATTGGTTGCATTCTTCTATTCAACTGTTTATGTACTTCTTCATTTTGCTATTTAGCTTCCACCTAAACTATTCTAAAAGAATTGGAGTTTTTTCCATGAGAACAAGGGTGTAAGGAAAATCTGCATTTGCAGTTTCCAGAAAGGAATTTTTTATCTTTCTCACCATGCATCTGACCTACTTGGCCCCAGCGCTGATCTACAGAGGTCCTGCCTCCTTCCCTGGTCTTCTGTGGGTGCATTTGGGGCTTCCAGAGCTAATGGTGTGATAAAAGTCTAGGACAACCTGAAGCGACAGTCTGATTGAAGAAAAAACATTTTGCAAAACTGTGACGGATTAAGCTGTGTGGTTATGGAAGAGCTAAGTTGCTCAAGTTTTCTAGCACAACTCTCAGAGAGAAATTTCTGTGCTGTCAAGTCAGTACTTTCAGTTGCAATAGAATTTTATATATTAAATACTGTGAGTCCATGTGGGAAGGAGGTATAAAACTGATGACTGGGGAAAGGAGTCTCCAGATCTGCTGGGAAATAGTGTTTCTCTGTCTTAAGATGTCTGCTTGGTGTGCATATGTCCCAGATGGCTCACTGGGAGGAGATGGCCTTTTTCCTTGTTGACAGAGGGGACTTGCTGGGCAATGCTTCAAAGGCTTTGGTGGATTATGGACTAACTTCAATCCATGGTGCTGAAGTTGCTGTTTGACAATACTTTACATTTAATGTCCTCTTATCCTTATGTAAAGATTGTACAGGGTAAGCTGCCAGGGACAGCCCAGAGGTTGTCATCAAGCTGGGGCAACGTTTCCTTGCTTTGTTCTTCTTCCAACTGCAGAGTAGAAGTCTGAAGCAGAAAGGTGGGAGAGACGCAAGGAGGAGCCCCATCAGCTGCTCGGATGTGACTTTTCCTGGGGTGCAGAGAGACAGTGAGCTATATTTGTGCCAGGGCGGCTGTACCCCCTTAGTAAGTGGTTACTTCTAACACGAAGTGTCTGAGGTTGAGTTAACTTCTGTTTCCCAGCACTATGTCTCTCTGTGTGGAAAAAGTAGAATCAACCCCTGAAGAGTTGTTTCTAAAGAGTGAAAAATGTGGCTCAGTTCCATTTCTTTTCTGCAGTCTGCTTTTGCAGTTAACTTTTTCCTCATTTTCCTCAGCTTGAAGCAGAAGCAGTTTTCCGTGCCATCACCATTGCCAGTCGAATAAACTGCCCAGTGTACATCACCAAAGTGATGAGCAAGAGCGCAGCTGATATCATTGCACTGGCCAGAAAGAAAGGTAAGAGTCTTCGTTTTGTCCACTGAACTTTTTTTTTTGTTGTTGAATAGAATCTCAGTGGAAAAACCTGTACATCTTGACTCAAATCACGAGGTGGAGGGAGAGTTTACTAAATAATGGTAACGCCATCACAGACCCTGAACATTTGCGGCTGGAAAAATGAAGGGAAATCCTTCTACAGTTTTCAGTCGAGAAACCCCTCACAAACTGCCCCCCTTGAAGGTTGCGTTGTAACTCGTCTTTATCCCATCTTCCCTTTTACTTTTCCCTTAGACTGCTGTATGCATGTATGAACAGAGATTCATGGAATGGAGAAATTTTGTTCCTAAAAGGTTTAGCAGATACTCTGTGCCTTTTGGGGGCGTTTCAGGATATTACCCTCTTAGGGCTGGCTTGGGCAGTGAACCTGCTTTTGGAGATGCCTGGTGCTTGTGAAGGGATCCAGGTTATAAAGCAGCCAACAGGGACTTGTGAGGCTGGGGGAAGCCACTTTCAAAGCTGTATTTGTGAGTCTCCTGACTGGAGAACAGGAGACTCACAAACAGTCTCTCCAGACTGTTCTGCTGGTTGGTCCTACAAAGTGCATGGGCAATATGGAAAAGCTGAAGAGCAAAATACCATCTTTGATATTTGTATTCTTGGAGACTTGGGAGTATGGTGCTGGGGACCATATGCTGCTATCTGCTGGTGCTGTGCCCAACCTGGGAGTAGTAAAAAGGCATCTGTCTGCTGGAGCCCATCCTCCACATAAATGAACTCCGAATTGGAGCAACAGAGAGAAGATGGCTGTGACTGAAGCAGTACAAATTAAAACCAGATCTGAACTGGTTTTGTAAATATGTTGATCAAAGCATGTGTAGCTCAGAGAGCCTCCTGATTAATTTTTTATCATACAGACAAAGCAAGGGCTGCTTAATTTTCTGGGAGCTACGTTAACCATGTAGTGATGCGTGAATTATACATGGCTGCGTGCAGCAACCGGTATAATGTGCTGGGAAAGAGGGGTTTGAATTCATTCCTGTATATCCTTGCTTTCCCCAAGGTCCCCTTGTTTTTGGAGAGCCGATCACTGCCAGCTTGGGGACGGATGGGACACATTACTGGAGCAAAAACTGGGCCAAGGCTGCAGCTTTTGTGACCTCGCCACCTCTGAGCCCTGATCCTACCACTCCGGATCACTTAAATTCTCTTTTAGCATGGTAAGACCTTTGTTTTTTTTACAGGCTGATGGTCAGGCAAGTGCAAATCCACATGGGATGAAGCATCTAGGAAGCAGCTCAGTTGCCTTTAGACCAGTCTCATACATGAAACAGCAGAGAAGGATCATAAAGAACCAGGGATGGATATGCCCCTCTGTTTAGGCTGTCAGTCAGGTGAGGAGCCATGGACTCTCCAGCTCCTGGTTAGCATGCTAGAGAGGCAGCCGCTCAGGAATTAGTTGTTTTTCTTTCTGTTTTTCAAGTGATTCGTAGTTGTACAGTTAGGTTGCCTTTAGCGCAGGACTTCAAACAGTCTCTGTTTTCTCCAGCTCAATTGTTAATATATGATCAGATGGCATCCTCACTGTCCAGTGTAAGCAACAGCCTGCTGGATATTTCCCTGGCTGGGAGAACAGACTCAGTTTTAAGCCTCATCATATCTGGCAAGCACAGCTCCTGAGATCAAGGTTGTCTCTGAATGCAGAGATACCTGGAATGGAGAAAACTTTCGTGGTGCGGTTTTTGTCATGGCTGGTGCAGCACTTTTGAGAATCAGGCTGTCCTAAACTAACTTCTGTTTGTTCAGTGGGTTTAACTCCTGTGTATTGCAAGCTTCTGACTTGGTAGTTTGCATTCATCTGGGATGGATCAAAATCATGTAAGTTTGCTTGTGTTTTGTTCTTGCAGCCTTTACTTTTAGCTTACCTTATGTCTTTATAGGTTCCAGGGTCCTCAAGCTGGAAGTCAGCAAAGATAAGCGGTGCATATAGAGGAGGTATGGCAGGCAGGAGAAGGAGGTCAGAGTGGATTACAAAGGAGACTGTCAGGGACTTGGGTGGATGCAGGCTAGTGACTGGAGGCCATTGCTTGACAGGATAAGAGTATGGGCTGACTGTCTTCAGGTTGGCAGGGAGAGTGTTATCACTGTAGAGATTAAATAAATGTGGACAGCAGAGGTAGACATCAGCTATGCCTTGCCAGCAACCCAGACCATAAACCCATTCCTGAAAGTATTCCTTGCCTGCAGCCAACTGTGGATCTTCTTTAGCTTTAGCAAAAGACCATCTGCTTTGAAATTATACAAAAATTCACAGCTGAAGTCCCACCAGGACGGACTACTAGTGCTGGAGTGAAAGATTCAACTTATCGTTTAAGACCTTGTTTAAGGCCAGGTATTAGCACTTACGTCTCCTGCTGCCTCTCCCTTGACAGTGTTGCCCATGCAGTAGAATTTAAACCCTGAAAGTGTCTCATTGGTCTTCAAAAAACATTTCCCCCTGAGATTAGTTTTCCATATGACTAACTGGCAAGCTGTACAACTGGCAGTGCCATTGTGGCTGGTAATATAAAGGTAATAAAAATGTGTATCAGGCTTGGGCAGAGCTGCACTTTAGGTGGATGGGCACATAGATGTGATGGGAAGCTGCCATCAGTCCATGCTGTTGCCATAGTTTACAGACATCTCTCCTCGCACACAGTGTGTGCAGCCCACCAAACCCAGGCTTTAACTGAGCCGCCCTAATGATCCTGCACAGGCAGCACTATTAATGAATACACAGTTGAGCATTGAGTCACCTGTGGTTCTGGTAAGAGCATGCAGGAATTTGTTCTGTTGTGATGGTTTGATGGCAGAAATGATTTTCCATAATTGAGCTTTCTGTTCCTTACAAAAATAACGGACAAGGAATAAAAGATGGCTTGTCTGGTCTGATCCGTCACTATCAGCACTGTAAAGAGTGAAGGTCATTGTGTAAGGGAAAGGCTCTTAGCCAGCACTGTGAATGTGTATCAAAATGTTGGGCTCTTTACTCTATCAGACACGGCTATATGTTTTCTAGAGTCCCAAAATAATAGTATGTGGGTCAAAGCGGATTAGCTAAAATAACAAGAGAATTTTTAGAACTGGAATCCAACTAATGACTTTTTTTAAACACTAACGTCAGGGAGACAAACTGAGGAGTCACAGAAGTTTTCATTATCCTCCAAGCATGCAAAAATGGCTTTTTTTTCCTAGAGGCTTAAAGTCCTAGATTTTAAATGACAGCAGCTTAGCCTGCTTTCTGTTTTAATACTTTAAATCTGTACTGTGAAACTAAAAAAAGAACAGTATATTTCATCAGTCTGCCATGCATTTGTGAGGAATTTTATGCAGGGATGATGGTAAAGAGAGTATTTCTCTTTTCTGTTGCACGGTTCATTAGAACACATTTTACATTCATTACAGAATCCTTATAACATTCTTCCTCTGCAAGTGCACAGCATACTGCTCATGCTGTTCTCCACAGAAAGCTGATTTTTCAATGAAAAGCTAGGTGTATAAAAACCCAGCATATCTCAAGGTGTTTGAAGATTGGATTTGCTGCATGGGATTCAGTCCTTGTTTCATCTGTGGGCCATGCACCTGTGGTAGCTTTCTTCTTCTCTGGTGTGCTGCTGTGATACACTGTCTCTTCCCAACTAGAGATGTGAGATCTTGGTTCTTCACTGAAGATGCCACCTGCCATGAAAATCTTGTTGGCGGTGAAGAATAAGATGATGAGGTACTGATGTGGCATTTAAAGATGTCCACTGCTAATTCCCACCCCTCCCTCTTCTGGAGATGTCTTCCATGGTGATCCCTTCTTGCCTCTCAGTTTTTTAGTTGAGCTGATGCTCATCCCCCATTTGACAGCAGAATGTATCTAGACGGTCAGAGTGCCCATGTGGTTAACCAGGAGGTCTTTGGGAGCTCTCAAGCGACATCCTTCAGCTTCAGATTCTTCTGTTGATTAGACTGGGGAGTGCTGTGCATGTCATTGAATGTCAGAGGAGAGGGAAGACAGAGCTCAGAGAAAGCAACTCCTTTTTATCTTTCAGGTGTGGGAATTAATAGCGTGGTATAAGAAGTGCAGCATAGCTCTGGGGAAATGGGCAGGGATACAGGGCCTGGCTGTGACATTCATTTTTTCATGCTGGCATTCATCTGAATGCAGAAAAGAGAGAGAGGGTGAGCCACAAGAAGCTTAGCTGGCAGAAGAGCAAGAAAAAGGAAGGAAAGGCATTGCAATCTTCTGACTTCATTGTTGTGTTAGAATAAATGAATGTCTAACCGATGGATTGGGTTTAATCCTATGGAGTAACACCAGGCAGTCATTAATAATCAGGAATAGCTGAAACATAGCTGCCTTTTCACTGTTAAATACATGGATTTGGCTTCGGCTGAAAACTGGGTGGATAGATGTGAGCATGGTGAAGAACCAGAAAAGAGGCCAAAGATTCTTCTCTGACTGTCAGCATTCATCAGGGCTGGCAGCCCAGAAAATAGCATTAGAATTACTGATGTGTGGCCTTTTTTTCCTGTGTACTTGGCTATTTGTTAGCTTGCTGGAATCTAAATTTGTGGACCACAACAATTCAGATGTTTCAGAGCTGGAACTTACATAATCAGTTCAAGAAAAGGATGACAGGCTCTTGGGGGCGTCAGCCTTCTGGAATGGTTGAAGAGAAATCATAATGTGTTCAAATGTGCTTGACTCCTGTAAGCTTAATCAAGACCTGAAAATATCACCTGTTTCCTGTGGATGTTGAAGAACCTATATTCTTTTCTGTCTTTATATTTCTGCAGGTTTCCACATACTGGTTATTTTCTTTCTCCATATTCCCAAGAGCAGCTGTGATCCAGTCCTGCTCTCTGCACAAAAAAATAAAATAAATTCTTTAGGCTGAAAAAAAAGACTACTTAAAAAAACCATTGTTATTATTTGGTACCTCTTTTTTTTTTGTTTTAGCTCCATGCCTTTTTCTGTGTAAGACTTGTAAGTTAGGTAACTCCAGAGCACATGTTTGACTTGCACTATGACTTTCATTAATTTAAAGACTACCTAGTAAAAAAATTTCCTTTCTTTTTTATTTTCACGATGTGTTTTGGAAGGTCAGACAAGAAGCATTGATATAAGAATTGCAAGAAGAATATATCTGCAAGGGAGAAATGCAGGGGAACAAGCTTGATGCTCATGACTTTGCATTCTAAAATTTGCCATTATTTTTCAACACTGCTGTGAATTAATTTGAGAGTGGCAGACATTTCATACAAGCTGCCGATCATTTCCTTAATCCTAGCATAATCCTTTGCCCTGGTTAGCGGGCTTGTGCCTGATCTCTGTCGATAAGCAGCCTGAAACCAGAGGAGGCTGTAATCCGGGAGTTCAGGGTGCTCCTGGGGGAAAGGGGAGATGTCCAATGCCTTTGTCGTTCTTCAGTGATCTGTAGCCAACATGTAAAGGCTGCTGACATGATTTACAGTCTGTGCCTCTGGTGTGTAGGCTTGAAAGGTCCATTTGCAGTGAGCCTGAGACCAACGTAACTTTGGCGATGCCTGGTCTAAACCTTCTGTGTGTTAACTCCACAGTGGGGACCTGCAGGTGACGGGAAGTGGACATTGCCCGTACAGCACTGCCCAGAAAGCCATTGGAAAGGACAACTTCACTATGATTCCTGAAGGGGTCAATGGAATTGAGGAGAGAATGACTGTTGTCTGTCTCAAGGCGGTAGTAAGTAATGACTTACTTACTTTTATGGACTAAAAAGAAACTGAATGTTGGATGAATAATGAAAGCCAGGAGACTCTTGGCCAAGTACTTAAATTACTTTCTAATATATTTCTGAGTATTCCCTAAGAGAGCCCTACTATGAGGTGAATTGTTTATTTCAAAAATCTTCTCCTGTTTTGTAAACTCAGGGCTGTGTTTCATTTTTGACGCTGCAACACCATCATGTGTTATTAGACCTGAGGCTTCACAGACTCCACCGCTCAGTTTTCCAGTTGTGTCAGAGTGGATGCTTCTCAGAGATGTAGGAACTGGAGCAGCTTAATGGTTTTGAAGTGGACCCCATATAAACGTGATGAATGGATTGTTTGAATTTCGGAAGTGTCTCATCGTTTTTGAGAAATTACAAATGGATGGCAGTCAAGCCTGAGGCTAGACGATAAAATGCTTTGAAGGAGAACATTGCATGTAATTCATACTGGCATATTTTGCGGTGGGGTGTAAGTTAGCGATTTTTTTATGGTTCCGTGGATCCTGATATATAATGATATTCCCCCTCCATTGTCGGTCTTCACACACATACCCATGCACACACACACACTCACAACCTTACATTGCCTTGCACTCAACTGCGTATTGCAAACTGGGAAGTGGCAGTATTTGAAGTGCTGTCGTGAGCACTTCTCCCAGACCGTGATTAATGAGCACTTCCTTCAGGGACCATTATTGAGATTCCAAGCACAGGAGCAGCTTCAGATGCCTGCTGTGTAGGAGCAAAGCCGGGAAGCAAGCAAAGTGCAGCCAGCCAGTGACAGTTCTCTTCCGTTATTCCCTCAAAGGGAGGGAGCTGCAGCAAGGGCTGCAGCATGGGATGTACAGGTGGTAACATTCAGTTCTGCTCCACTGAATAGCTTATATTTTGCAAATCTTATATTTTACCAGGCAGGAGATAAGTGTTTATTTAATATTAAAAAGTTTGGCACTGTTGTTTTTCCTCAGAACATTGTTCTTGCTTATTGCCAGGGAAGAACCGAAAATACTCAGAAAGCAAAATGCTGTGTGTACAGTTGCTATTAAGCCATCACTGTCTGTATAAGAAGTTCAGTTGGTGGTGACATTTCTCCCGGCAAGGACATTTTTTAATTGGGGTTGTATTACTTAGATGTATGGGTTTGGTATTACTAATACTAGAATGGACTTACTTGCAAGAAATGTTTCCAGAACGCCGAATCTTGATCTATTATTTAAACTCATAATACTCATATAATTTTCTCTGTTTTAAAATTGTTAAAACATTAAATGGAAATTACTAGGACTAGCAACAAAACACAACTAGGCATCAGGATGTAGAAAGAAGGACATTAGATAACTGAGCAACTGGATGGTATCATCTGCATTCAGTTTCATTGGCTGTTCTTTGGAATGCCAGGAATAACACATTAATTCATTTGAAACTCCCAAGTAACGTGCCTTGTATAAAGTCCTGCTTGATAAAAACCTTTGTTTCATCCAGCATCACCATATATATGAATTACATGCTTTCCAATATCTCCCTGACCGTTCATTACTCTGAATCACTATATTATAAGCCTGTTTTGCTCAAATCACATTGTTTTTAGGCCACAGGCAAGATGGATGAGAGCCAGTTTGTAGCTGTCACAAGCACCAATGCTGCCAAAATCTTTAATCTGTATCCAAGGAAAGGCCGGATTGCTGTAGGATCTGATGCTGATGTTGTTATTTGGGACCCTGATAAGGTGAAGACTATAACGGCTAAAAACCATAGATCGGTAAGGAGAAAAGGAAAACCAGCAAGAAAAAAGAAGTGTCACTGTCGGTTTTTGACTGTTGATCTAATTCATGTGCACGGGATATAGAGGAGTGGGTAAATTCTGAAATGGGTAAATGTTTCACAAACTTGAAAGTATTGAAATCTTTCATTGGAAGCACTGGAATCAAGAAAGATTTTGTTTCACTCTGCACCTACCATTGCGCTATTTTTGCATGCTTGTGGCAGATCTGTAGGTAGGTGTGAATCAGCAACTCTGCAGCTGAGGTTAGTAAAGCTGTAATAGTAAATTTAAAACCAGCTCACTTGGGTTTCCTTACCTGAAAAGCACCTAATATTATAAGTTGCACAATTAAATCAACAATATTCTAAACTGTGAGAGATTATTAAATATTTTGATAATACAGCTCTGATCAGCTTCATCACTGGGATTTTTTATTTAATTCCAAAGCTTTGCTGCTTACTTCTCTGGTCTTAGGGCATAGTACCAGTGACTTCCAGTCGTTTCAGTTTTGACTATGACAGGTTTTATTTGCTGTTTATCTCAAAGTGACTGATTTATTGTTCAGTACTTTGGTCTTTTATATTGGGGAATTCTTCCAAACGTTTTACTGGAAATCCAGTAACATGAGTTATATTAAAAAGGTAAAAACCTTTAAGAAGTAAGTTTATGTCATTCAGTTTCTAGTTCTATTTTCAAGAAAGTAATGATTACCTGCCCTTTGGCAGTGATTCCTATTTAGGTTCTGGCTTTCCTGGTTCTTTCAGATAAAAGTACATGTGTTGGCCCCTTTGAAATTTCCTTACACAGTGATAACAGATGCATGGTGGGACCATGTCCTCTGGGTATCCGTCAGCTGAGTCACAATTTTCCTTCTTATTAAGGCTATTGTACTTCTGGAGGCTCTGGATAAATATGAAAAGCCTTCGAAACCAAATAAGATAAAGCCTTGATGGAAAGAGAGAAATGGGAAGGGAAAGTCTAATCATGGAAAGTCTGATCAGAGAGATTCTTTAAAATCATTGCATATCGAAATGCACTGCTTTTCCTGCAGACAAACCAATTTTATACACCTCTTAATGGCAGTTGTCCAAAACTGTGACTACAAAAACCAGAGTATAATTTATTAACTGAAAGAGATCTTGTACTGAACTTGTAGTGAATGTGTTGGTTGATCCTCAGGCCATCGAGTACAACATCTTTGAAGGAATGGAGTGCCATGGTGCCCCACTCGTGGTCATAAGCCAAGGGAAGATTGTGTTTGAAGATGGAAATCTGCACATAAATAAGGGAATGGGCCGCTTCATCCCTCGCAAACCTTTCCCTGAATATCTTTACCAGCGCATCAAAATCAGGAATAAGGTAATGTCAGATATTAGTTAATCTTTTTTCTCGCCATACCCTCTTGGAACCATAGTAGCACATGTTTTTGCTTATTTTTGTGCTAATAGGAGTCCATATCAGATGGATTATAAATGTTTTAAAAATGCCCACAAAACTGGTTCTTCTGCAAGTGTGAACTGACACAATTATTAACTCTGTGAGCTTCAGTGGGTAGAGCTTCTAATTGCCAACTGGGTATAATTGCCTTCTGTGCAGACTTTTGAAGGGAGGTGGAATAGTGATGTAATATACTTTTAGTTAAAAATAAGGAAAAACATAAAGCTTCTTTGTAGGAGGGTTAGCTAGAAGAAAAACAGAATTTTAAATTGTTACTGAGCTTTGCATACTGAATTGCCACACTGCCAAGAAGAAAAGTGTCTAAGCCAGAACTGTTGTTGGTGCATTTGCTGAGCTGAGTATTAGCAGCATCCACAGCTCAGAAAACCTTTCTCTTATGTTTAATAAAAAACTTGGGAAATGAGAAAGATTAAAGCTGTATCACTTCTGGTTTTGAATTATGTTAACGCTGCTCTGTTGAAAACTAATTGGCTTTGCAATAGTTATTGGTTATTTGGAAATTGCTTCTTGCCACTGAGCAAGAAATTCACTGTGTGAGGACAGGTAACAAGGCAAATTGACTAGAACTCATATTTTCTTCAGCAAAGTCTATAATATCATAACCTGTGAGGGTGGCAGCTGAAATTAAGTCTACCAGCAGGTTGATAGCTTTTATCTTCCATCATTTGTTACAAAAATTGTGTCAACCTGTGGGATACAAAAAGTCTGCACTTCTAATGAGAAGACGCACTGTAAAAATGAAATGTGACTGCAAAAGTTTTGCAAAAATACCAATCAGTATTGCACTTTTTTTACCTGATCCACTTAGATGACATGGGCCTTCTCTTCATGCCTCTCAAGGGTTTAGCGCATAGGCATGCTGTATAAATCAGCGATAATGTCATTTAAACATGAAAACACCACTTTAAAAACAAATATCAGAGAATATTTGTCTTACACCAGGATATTAGTCTTATACCAGGATTTTGCACGGGCTAAGTAACTGGGCTAAGTAACTGGGCTAAGTAACCTGCATCTTTCAAGCAGAGCTGGATTTTGCAAAAGACCTTTGATTTTAGATAGTTAGGAAATACTTACCTTTAGATACTGAGATCTGCCAAAGAACCAAGAAAAGGACCTATATTTTTGCTTTAGCAGCTCCCTCTGCTGCCAGCCAAGAGGAAGGGAGAACAAATTCTTTTTCCACAGATTTTATTGATGGAAAATATTTAGAAAAACCTGATGATGTTTCTATCATACACTGTTTGAATATGTCAATGCATGACAAAAGAATATAGAAAAAACACGTCAAACACAGGACTGCCAAGCTGTAACTGGCACAGGATAACAATATAAATTTATCACCAGAGCGGGGATATAAATTCCTGCTTTTTTGGGTCTCTGGAAGATGGATTCATTGCTGTGATCAGCAGCTGCTCCCTTCTGGGCTTTAGTTTTGGCTCAGCCTGTGGACGGTGGCTCTTCTGAGCCAGATGTCCCCATCACCAAAGGCAAGGAAAATGCATTGATTTCTGTAAGAGCTAGACCAAACCCCTGTGAACAGTGTTCTTCCTATACGGTATTTTAATGTCACTGTTAACCTGCTGGGTTTCTGAAACAATAATATTGTAAATAACAGATTTCTGGTATTTTCGGTGGGTTTTAGATTCTGCAATTCAATGGCTTCGGGCTTCTCCTGAAAATTTGAACTGTTTTTAAAAAACCATTATTTCCTAATTTTTTGTATTTTAAGGTCAGTGAGGCTGCTGTGATTGTCTTTGCTCATATTCCTTGTAGGAACTGTACAGGGATAAAACCTAGATACCTCATACTGAAATCAGAACTCAAACAGATGCTCTACTGACAATAAAAGATGGGTCCTGTGCTATAGTCTAGTGTATAACTGCTTTTGTAGTTCATGACCAAGTGGAAAAGTTTGAAATTTTGATTTAAAAGTTGCCACCATTTTTCAATAAATTCTAATGAAGAGAATGATATATTTGAAGCTGAGGAGCAGAGAGGAGACAAGTAAAATTGCTACAGTCAGTATAGTGGGTATCAGTCTTGCAACAACGGGATTGGGTTTCAGCAGCTGAACCAGCCTTGCTGAATACCCTCTGAATGGGAGAGAAGAGGCAGTGGTGACTGATAGTACTTAAAATAAAGATCTTAGGTCAGATCTGTTCTTTTGAATCCCATTTCTCCCCACTGACTGTGAAGGAGGCCTAATAAGGATCTCTGTCTTAGAATTTATATCTATGTATAAAAATGGAGGGGGAGGCTTTATAAACTTGTTTATACATATTGATGAGAATACAAATGTGCTTTTACTTCAGCTAATGCAGAATATAGCTCTGTGCTCAGTGGTCTCTGCTTATAGGCAGAACTATCATTAGGGAGCATTATCAGAGCATTCAGTGTCTGGGTTTTTGTTCTTCTCTTGATCTAGGTGGGAGGACTGCAAGGAGTCTCCAGAGGAATGTATGATGGGCCTGTGTACGAAATCCCAGCTACGCCAAAATATGCAACTCCTGCACCCTCAACTAAATCTTCCCCTGCCAAAAATCAGCCTCCACCAATCAGAAACCTCCATCAGTCTAATTTTAGCTTATCGGGTAAGTCAGCCTGACTCAGCAAAAATGTTTTAAAGCCAGGAGTATAAATTTCAGTTATAATTACCTTTTTTATCAAATATGGAAGGCTTATATATACTCCTATATATGCATATACTTATATATAGGTATGTATATATATGTTTTATACATTCTTTCTCTAGGTATATTTTACAAATTGTCATATATTCAGATTGTTTGCAATCTATTTTTTTCCTCTGCATGCAGCCTTTAGTATTATTTACTTGACCCATTGCAGTTAGCTGAGGTCTCTGGTTATCACAGAATCATAGAATCGTAGAATCGTAGAATGGCCTAGGCTGGAAGGGACCTTAGAGATCATTTAATCCAACCTCCCTGTCATGGGCAGGGACGCCTCTCAACTAGATCAGGCGACACATGGGGACTGAATGGGGATCAAACCTGCGACCTTGGTGGCTGATGGGACTTGAGCCTGGTCCAACTCAGTGTGGCTCAGACATCTCAGACTTCTTTCTTAGTTCATCACCGGAAAATTGCTAGACATGGAAACTTCAACTGTCCTGGTCAGAAAACCACATGCAGAATCTATTAATATGCAGATTAGAGTGTTTCTCTTCCTCTTTGCTCTTGGTGCCCAAAGTATTTTTCATGGTACATAAGAAACAGACTGGAAAATCATCCTTTGGGGTTCATGGAAATAATTCTTGTCACTTGAAGATAATTACAACTGTGTCAAATACTTATCCTTCAAAAGTCTACAGCCCAATTGGTAAATAAGGGGCTCCTTATGATGTTGTTATGAAAGTCACTGGATTTTCTTGCCTGTGGAAGTCGATGGTGATGTTTTCCTCCCTGAAAGATCTTGTCCTTAGAAACTAAACACAACTTCCGGGAGAAAGCCCAAAGAGAGCAAATAGTTTAAAAAAACGTTGTGGCATGTTGGAGTGTATTGTTGCCCTTACACCTGGGGCCATGTTGAGCACATACACATACATAAATGTATATAAAGCAAAAAAAATGCTTGCAAATTTGACCTCTAATAATCATAACAACCAGTAAGTGGGATTGTCATAAGCATCTGAAAGCTGTGGTTTCACAGTCTGCTGCTGCATCTGGGCATTACCAAGGCATCTACTGGTATCAGTTTGATCTAGTGCAGGCAAACACACATTACTGTGTTCTTATGAAATGACATAGAACCAGAGAGTATGATAGCATTTAAAATGATCCTACACTTTTGTGGTAGCCTGACATTACCTTAAGGAAGCTGAGTCAGACAGTATTTAGCCTGGCAAAAAGCTTGCTGTCACCTTAAGCTTAACCTTTCAACATTTTAAAATACAGTTTGAAATGGGTGCGAGTTTACATCAGCTCAGTGCTCCTTTCCTCAGTGATTTACGATTGCTAATATTTAAAAAATCCTTTCTGCACATATATGTTCAGGGGCAGGGTTGTCGTTATAACAGCAATATTTTCTGTCAGGATCTGATCTCATGAAAGGAACCCACTCTGTAGGCTGTCATCCCTGCCTGGGCTCTTCCTCACATCAGTGGGAAACAATTTCCCATGTAGGGTGAGCATCAGTCTGATCCCAAGCATTTAATCCTACACTTCTCATTTAAGATAGATGGAGCTAGGCACAGAAATGTGCCCTGAAGGTCTCTTCAGCACTGCAGGCAGGGGTCTGGCTCAAGAGAAACTGATGGTGGTTTGAGGGAGGCATAGCTGGAACTAGCCAGGTAAAATCTCACTGCTGATGGTCTATTCTTTTTCATAGCTTTATTGCCCGATTTTCTATTGTTGCAGGAGCTCAGATAGATGACAACAACCCACGCCGTACCGGCCACCGCATTGTGGCACCTCCTGGGGGTCGTTCTAATATTACCAGTCTTGGCTGAAAAATGATGATGGACAGAAACACAAGGATGAAGGATCATGGGAATAATGTCTGTTCCCTTCAATATCTGTGTTATTGAACCCACAGTTTTATTTGGTACTAATGGAAATAAAAAATGAAATGTCTTTTTTTTTTTTTGTATAGGAAGAGGTGATAATAATGTGGTGTGTTTGCTTGGAACTACTTGCCTCACAATTGTGCTTTCATGCCATAGTCACCTTAAAGCATGGTGCTTCCATTGCCCCTTTAGTGACTACAGGTTTTAGCTTTGTCTCGTAACTGAATGATGGTTCCTTTGCACCCTTTCGCTGTATTAGACTAGTTAATGCATGTTACTGAGTTATTTATGCAAGTTGCATTCTGTGAGTGAGTCCCTTTAGAACACGTTGCCAACAATTGACTAGACACAAGATTAATGCCAAGATTAATGTCCGTATTTGAGAAACACCACCAAAAACACTTATGAAGGAAGAAAATGGCCATCTTGAAAGTATGCAGTAGAGTAGTATAGGCAGCTTCTGTTCATCTTTAATTTATTATAAGCCCAAGAAGCACTTCTCTCAGACACAGAAAATTGTCGGGACACGTAATGACAAATGGTCTCTGTAGCACCTGTCTGTTCCCACTCAGTACGTTCCAAGTCTGTGTCCTTCTTGTTTCCATTTTAGATAGAGCCATAATTTATACATACCAACGCCATTGCCGCCCCTGCAGGGATTTCTCCACCTGGGCAGTAGTGCTCTCCTTCTGCATGAGATTTTTGGTACTTACAGATAATCCAAGTTGCTGTCGGATTTTTAAAGTTTTTTGTACAAAGTTTTTCCTTTGTAATCACATGCATTTTTACTTACTCTACCGTATCAAGATCTACTAGTTGTGGTTCAATTTCTGAATTCAAAGCTTGTGAAATAAAGGAAATTAATGGATGGGTAAGCGTCTTCCTCTGCTTTCCAGTGCTGTTGCTCAGTGGTTGAATATTTAGAATAAACAAACTCAAGAGAAATTTTTTTTTAGGTTGACGTCATGTGAAAGGAACCTCTTTAGATGACAAAGGGTGTTAAATGTATAGATGTCTGCATATGCATAGTATAGCATGCCATAATCTGTCTTAATTCAATAGAGTTCACAGTTAAAATGTACTTACTGTTGACATGGCAGTTGCCTCAGTTTTGGCCAAATGAGACCTGAATTAGCTTTCTCCCAAAACCTTCAGGTCTGCATCTGATTTGCCTGAAATAGGAGTTGATTCCATCATCATCTGTAGTATAGAACTAGCATGCAGTGCTCCAGTTTGACCTAAGCTATATTTGACTGAACAGGGACAGTGTTTATTAGGTGTGGCATGAACAAGACATGCTGCAGGTAAGGTAGGTGGAGTTGAATTCTCTTTTTATGAGAGTGAAGGAAATGCTTTCTCCTTGTCTTTCTCTCTCTTTCACAAACTATGTAAAGAAACCTTTTCTATCATTTTTTAGTTATCTGATTGTGTTGCAGAGGTGGGAGGTGTGAGCTATGGTGGAGGGTGGGGTGCTATGAAACTAAGCAGGTCAGCAAAACACCTCTCCTTGGCCTTATGCTGCTTTGCCCTTGTCTACACTACAAAGCTGCACCAGGAAAAGTCTTGCAGCGGTGTCATGCTAGTGGAATGGTTTTATCTAGCTGTGCTTGACCACTTAGCACCCATCCGTCCTTTCCATACAGCAAAGAATTGTGTTGGCACGGGGCATGCGGTACATGCCAGGTATGTGCAGAACATACATAAAAAGTTTTGGAAAGTAGCCTACTTGAAGCCTGACATATTCTGAAGCCAGTATGCTACCACCTCCAGCTTGCTTGGGAAAGGAATCACTACCCTGGAAAACTCTGTTTCAGCCAGCTTGGTCTGAAAACATGGCAGCAGAGCTGATCTGAATATCCAGGATTTTTGTTGGTTTTTTTTTGCTTTTGTGAAGAAATACAGCAATTCAGCCTTCAGTGAACTGAACTGATTGCTCCAAAAATAAGAGAAAAATAAAGCTTTTCATGAATAATCTCTGCTGGTAAGAATTCAAATTCATGCTTCCTATTGCCTGGAGAGTGCCCTCATCCCTAGGCTTCCTTGCTCAACTGATGGTTTGAGTATTTCATATGGTAGGAGGTGAAATAACTTGCTCACTTGGTGGTTCAGGTTTTTTTTATGGGAAGCAAAATAAGTGTAGCAGAGAAGCCTGAGGACAACCTGCCCTGGAATAACCAACAGCCTAGCAGGTACAGCAATCCTGAAATGCCAAGTCTCCATCTCCACTGTCCTATTCCAACTCCTTTGTTAAGAGTGTTGACAGAGCTGGCAGCAGATCTGGTAATCTAACCCTGACAACAAAGCTGATTTGTGAAACTGCGAGGCAAATTTGACACATTGTGAAAATTTTGGAACTGCTGGTTCCCTAGTGAATTTTTTTGTATGTGTCTTTGTTTGAGAGCACCAGGATAAAAGTTCTCTGAGGCTCCTGGCACTGGTGGTAATCAGAGCTGGGGAGGAGGGGATGGGTCAGGTAATCCAAATGGATCAATCATGGTATTTCTTCTCATGGTGCTTGGTATATAAGGGCTTATATAGAGGGGCTTTGGGGTGCTTAGTGTCTGCTGTGCTGGCAGGATTGTTACTGGCTTTTTGTCATTGCTCTGTTATCTCTCCCTGTGCTGCTGGTGTTTCCTGCCTCCTGTTTCCGCGCTGCAGCAGAGCGCCATTTGAAGGGACAGGTTGTCTTCCCCTGCCCTCTCACCCCAAGTAGGAGTGGCACCGCTGTTTTTCTGTTTTGTTTTTGGTTTTTTGGTTTGTTTTTTTTTGGGGGGGGGGGCTATCGGACTGTGCTTAGTCATTCCTGTCTGTTGCTGAGTTCAGTCTGGGACTTTTTCTTTCTGCTTGGGACCTTGTCATCTGGAAAGCAGGGGTCCTGAATTAACATATTCTTCAGTATCTTTGAGCATATTTGCATACTTGTATATATCTGTATATAGTTTGAAATCTTTTTAGTTAGTAGCATTTTAGGTTTTTTTTATTAAACTAGTTCAAGTTTTTTTCAACTTCAAAGTCTCTCTCCCTGGTTCCCCTGTTACCTTTCCCTGGCAGGGTGGTGGGGGGATCACAGAGAGCATCTGTCAAAGTTTAGTGGCCGGTACACTCATAAACTTTGACAGCGTGTTTGTGCAAGTAGCAATCATTGCACATCTCCGAGTAAAATTTCAACTTTTCTGTGAGGCTCCTCACACTTGAGGTGGCAGAAATGACTGCTGTGTAACTTGAGAGATTCGACTTTTCCTACACACTAAACAGCATCCTAAACCAAAGAACCCTTTGCCTACAAGCTAGTCAAGATCCACTGTTGTTAACATGCATTTTATTTTTTCACGGTGAAGTGTCTGTGAGTAAATACATGTGTGAGTGTTTGTGGGGCGCTTCATGGTTCAGTGCTTCTGTGCGAACAAGATGGTGCTTGTCAGGTCAATGCAACTGCTCTAGTTTCTCCTGGGTGAATATGCTAGCATGCCTGTGATTTTCATAAGACCTCACAGACAGACTGCTGCAGGGACAGCCTCTGGGAAGCTCATGGGTGCTGTGCTATTTCTTTCCACTCTGGACACGCAGTGTTACCTGGATGTGATTTAACCAGCAGGGTTTTTTTGAGCACAGGTGCCTTATTGCATGGTCACCAGGTGAGGTGAAGGATGCCTCACTTGGATGGTTACTGTGATACACCATCAGAGAGCTGGGACGTGCCATTGCTCATTGGGGGGGTTTAAAGAAAACAAAGTACTGCTTCTCTTATCACCTATTTCACAGCAGTGCCCCTGCTGCTACATCACTAACCTGTCATAAAAAAGTGTAACAGTAACAGTAGATAAAATGTGGATTAGCTAGTGATTCTGAATACAGGATAATGGTACTCAAGTTTGCTCCCTTATAAGAGCACCAAGCTGGGAGATGTTCAGTTTGTGAACTTGGGGGTGCGAAGCTGCTGTTACCTCAACTACAAGAAGAAAGCAGTGCAAAGCTTTTGTGCATTCTGAATCATCTAGTTTCTGAAAATTTGCAGCAGGCCTCTGACCTTTTAATATCTGATATAGCCCTATTGCTATATTAAAAATTAGTCCCTAAGACCAGTCTGAGGACTGTCTTTTTGTCAATCAAGTGATGTTAAGGAGAAGGCTGGATCTGTGGGTTTTTTCTTGAGTGATGATAGCTTGGACCAGTTTGTCTTGTGTTCCAGTTAGTCTACTACCAGAGCAAAGCAGTTACACGTTTGAATTTTACTGTTTGTAGGAAAGCTTAGTTATGATACTAAGACTGTACCAAACCTGACAGCTGTCCCAGCAATTAAATGTTTCTTTTAGCAATTTCCATCTTCAAGAACTAAAAATGCAGACTGGATCAGGACAGATGACCATCTGCTCTGGGTTCCAGTAGCCAGGGAGGCCAGAAGAAAACAAACATGATGATATTCCTTTGAGTGTTTTTTTCATTGCCAGTGCCTTGTAATTTCTTGAGAAGCAACAACATCTTTGTAGCTTTCAGTGAACTGTTCTGCCATGAATTTGCCAAGGTGCTTTTAAAATGAGGTAAACTCTTGGCATTTATGGCTTTCTGGAGCAAGGAGATGCACAGCTTAATGCAGGATGACAAAGTGTCAAGCTAGACTACTTGGCACCAGGTAACTCTTGCCATTTAAACCTGGCCAGTATTAAATTACTGTGATTTGGACAAACTGCTTTGAGGATAGCTCTTCATTGTGATTTTGGTGAACTTTGCACAAACTTTCCAGATATATTTCAGTGATCACAGTGATGGGTATTCAGCTGAAAAGAAACTGTATATTGGAGAGGGAATACAATCCACTAAAAATGTGGAGTCTGCGATACTGTTCTTTGAGTTTTATGTAACTTACTAAGTTTTTGCGGTGATATGGATAAAGTAGTTGGGTCTCAGTCCTGCTCCCCGACCATCTATTTTGTAATTTTCCAGCACAGCAAGCTGTACATACAAGGCTATGTTTAGATATATAGTCATATATACTGCTTTAAAAAGCTTTAAGCTCAACAGCTTCTTCCTCACAACTGGAAGAAAGCCAGCCTGAGAATGTATCAGTGACAGCAAAGCTGTTTCTGGAAGTCTTCACCTGGGAGGGTCCAGTCTGTTGTCCTGCAGCTCTGCAGTGCAGCTGTGGCCACAGCTGGGAGGGTGAAGAGACCAAGAGCCCTCCCAGCATGGCGGCAGCTCCCAGAGAGCACAGGGCAGGCCAGGCAGCTGCACACTAAGCCTGTCATAGTCTCTGCTGAACACAAGGAAGAAGCATGAATTCGGACAGAGGAAACATGAGCAAAAAAAAATTAGTACATAATGATTTCTGGATGTTAGAATGGCTTCCAAGGTCTGTTGCAGATGCCATGGTGGGAGAGAGTGAGTGCTTGCCCTGCTACTGGGATACTGTGTGCACAGGCTGGATCAAAGGACCTTTATGTGTGACTTAGGAGTGCTTGCTTATGTCAGGAATGAAACTGCCTTTATTGCACCTTGAACATCCCAAATATAGTTCAAGTTACACACTTCTTCAGCGTCGTCCAGGCTGCCTTTCAGCGGGACTTCTGCATGATGAGGCTTTCCATATTTTTCTACAGCAGAGGGACCATTATGAGCTCTTTTGAGTCTTGCATGATGATACACAATGCACTGAATGACTATGCCTAGAATTTGTTTCAGACACCCTTGTCATAAAACTGTGAAAAGGGTTGAGCACAATCATAAGCTGTTGTAGTAACTGTCATTCTTTATGTTAAAAAAAAGGAGAAAAAAGAAATGCCATTTTCCCCCTAGATTTCTGCAGCAAGTGTTTTAGATACGTACCTGTAAAGCACGATCAAAGTTCCTCGTTAGCCTCCTGGGAATAAACTAA